AGCGTGTAATTTGTTGAATTTGAAAAGCTTTTCAGCAGCACATGTTCAGATTTCCATTAGAAAATAACCCCATTTGTATGCGACGGTGGATGGTATAACATTTCAAAGATTTCTCCGAGTATGATTCAACATAACACCACACCTGCGAGAAGTTTTCCCTTACACTCATTATTTACAAATTGTTTTCAGGAAAGTAGTGCGGGTGTTTCTTTGAAGTAAAGTTATGTGCCGGCCCCTCATAAAGGCCTCCAATTGAAGGGAAGCCGCGTCTTAGCACGGAGGTGCTTCTCCCTAATAAAACAATTCCCACCTTTCGTCGTGAACCGTCGAGAGACCATTAGCCGACGCAATGTAAATACCCGATTTGAAATTAGACCCGGACCGCTATGTTCTCTATTGTACGTACGGGGTTTAAGTCTTATCAGTGCAACTTACATACCCTCAGAAACTTATAAACTGTCATTGCACTTCCATATAACGTATTTTAGACAAAACTTATGTCCTCCTGAGATACCACGACCTAAATTCGACGCTCATATAATCTTGGTTTAAGGCACGTTACAACACGCACCGTTGTAGCGAGCTGAGTGGATCTTATGACCATCACGTGATCTGATCGAATTTAAAAGAAAATTTAGAAAACCGGGAACGGAATAAGATTATAACGGCATAAAGTCGTATTTACATTCGTGTAATTAACAATTTTGTAAAAGGGCGCAAGACAATTTCTGGAGCGAGCGTAAATTGAAAATAATGTGATTAGGCACCCCATTCATAAATGTACGGTGTTTACAAAGAATTCTAAAAAAAAATAACATGTTTTTTTCATTTGTCACATGTTTTTCAGTCTGCCTTTTCCAATGTGAATTTATGTCATTTCGTGGTGTTTTTTTTCTTCAAAAATACGTGGAAACATGTGCAACACCATACGCACACTAAAAAGTTACTGGCATGAACATAACTCAAACAGTTATCTAACTTGTGTCGAGATTAACCATTTTCGTAAATCGTGTGAGTAATATTTCATGTTTCGTGTTTGTTTCCTACCATGCTGAGCTCCTATTTTGATGTAACCGCCTTGGGGTAAATGGTAAAATATGGCTTGGGACAAATAAGGAACGAGAATGATTTAAATGAGAAATCGGGTAGGTCTAAAACCGAACCCCCTCCAGAGCAGGCTGGAACATTTCTATAGCCGCGAGGGTAGACAATGTAACATTACAAGAAACAGAATATCCCGAAGTAGTTCAATTACACACCGCTTGGCGCGATACACTTTACCCAACAGAGAAACGCGAGAGAGCTCCCGCGACACCTACGATAATTTACGAGAACACCGTGCCGAGCTTGCTTCCTACGCTGTGAGGAGCTGTAAAGAGCTGTGTGCGTGTGGTACTAGCTTGCAGAAGACTACAGTCAGATGGCGAAGCTTTTTACGCTGTGAGAAAACATGCTAAAGGAACACATTTATTCCTTGTTTACAATTTTTTACCGACTTTCTAAGCATCTTCTAGCTTTGATCTTTCGGCAAATTTGTTTTTCTACTGTGATATATGGACGCACCATCCAGCGAGATATTTTCAGTTGCACCGAATTTCCAAAAAGCTATTGTTGTTCCCTCACTGTATGCAATGGGTTCCCAGCCAGTATGATCCGACAATTTCATAATTTTGCCTGTGAATCTCTTCAGGAGGCCAGCGTATGTTAATTACCAGCCCAAGTGCACAGCCGCGTATCGTATTCAACGTACAATTGCAAGTATTTTGGTTAACATGTTCCTCGTTTTCTCATAATAGATGCACAATCTGATACTAAGTTTAGGTTCGCTTAAAAGTAAATATAACGGGGCATTTATCAAAGAGCATTTTACTCTGTTGGCAAAAAGCAGTCAACGTTATGTGGTTATGAAGATATCCGTATACCTCCAATAAAGTAAAGAGACTTTGAACAGTAACAATCGCAATGACATGATAAAACATACTCAAGGCTTTCTGAAGCACATCGCTCGTATAATGCATAATAATGCATAACATATGAGACAGCGAAGGTCTGATTGACATTGCTGTTAAGTATGCATGCATTCATCGAATTGCTGATATGTAAAACTGGGATAAAACTACATATATGCTTTTATCGGAGCTACACAAAGTACCGATTGTTACCGCTATAAAAAAATCACTAGTTATGGATCATTACCAGTGGGAAGTGCTAAGCATGGCTTCTCAATTAAAAAAAATGACACTATTTGTGTAAAGACACATATGTTTGATAATCTCGGTAAGGTTTTTAGCGCTCTTCCAACAGAGTTGTCATTAACACACTCCCGAATCAACGTAAAAGATCATGTAAGAATGCTGTTTTAGACAAACAAATTATGATGAGTTTGTTAAGGCTTATTTAAAAAATCAGTGAAATCAATATAAATGCTATTTTTGCGGCTGGGAAACGTGTTTAATTTTGATTAGATTTTTGTGTACTTATAGAAGTTCCAGAGAGCAATAAGTATTAAATATGTATTATTTAACAACATCTTATTAGTAAAAACAATGGGCATGGAGGTATCACGCGTATTTCTTTAAACTAATTTAGTTCTAATTTTGCACTTTAATCTATCTATATTATTTAATGTAAATGACGTAGCACGAAATTGTTTCATGTACAATAATCAGTTGTTAAACCAAAGTAACAATGTATGGCTATCATTGGAAACGTATGTCCTTGTAAATTACAAATCCATACAACAGAGAAACAAAATATTCGTGACAGTAACAGCAAGAAAATTTTCACCTACCCCTAGTCTTACTTCGCATGAGCCTGGAAGGGAGATAACTCTAATTAAGACTTACGTAACAGCATCAATTATTTCACTGCAAAAACTCAAACTGGAACATGTCACGAACGCTGAAATACTGCTTCTTAATGTAATCCGTTTGAAAAGACCAGGTTTCAGCCACAATAAACATTTGTTAATTTGAAATGTACAACTAAATTGGCACACATGCCCAGGTGCCGTCTACCGCTTTTATACATACCCATTTTTCATAAACACGCATTCGTTTTTATATATTTGCATTAAGTTGTACATATAAAAGTAAACCATTTTTTTCCAAAACAAATATCAAATTTTAGTTAGCGATCCTGCCAAGGTGTTCGATAAATACATAACACAACAAAGTGTATTATACACATTGGTTCAGTTGATTGATTTTACACCTGCCAACATTGAAATAGGTTTGTATTTTGTTCCCTCAAGATCAAAGCACTGATGTCGAATAAATCCTCCTGGAAAAACAAAAAGAGAAATCGGCGTGATATAAAAACGGAAAACTGTCTTGTTAACTGATGTGAAAAACCCTAAAATGCATTAGCATTGTACAATGACAAATGTTCTTCCTAAGACATTCAATCTACTGCACGAAATCGCTGATTACTTGGTGCTGTCCGAATATGGATGCGACAATAGCGTGTGGTGGTGACGATCCGTCTAAAGTGTAGAGGTTTATAATCCCTTGTAGATCACCTACATTCCCATTTTAATCACACGAAGGTGCTTTGAATATTCTCCCCCTGTCGAGAGTAACGAAATTCCGAATACGATAGATCCTTTGAAGCGAACAGGGAACTTTTCTCCAGTAATATTTCCGTCAGCGCTTCTACAGAATGGCGGCCGTTCCTTTGCTAATAGAAGGGTAGAATCATTCACCGCGATGAATGATTTTCACTCTAAATGAGAAAACCGCACCAAGATCATAAAATAATATGAAGTTGTGCTTTTGCGTCAGTTTGTTCAATGCTGAAAACGTGTCCGCATGAGTCGAGGAATCTAAGCGTGCGGTGAAGCGCTTGGCTTCATTCTGAAAAAGAACCTTTCTAAAATTGCTCTATCGTCTTTTTGCTCTCACCATGGGAAGTATCCCTCATTGTGAAAGTTGTTTACATCAGATTTATTTATGCAAGCTTAAAGGCTATAAAGTTATATTTTTATTGTGTTTAATGGTAGTTGAAGGATATATCAAAGGGACTAGGGAGATGTGAGCTATTGGTGTTTGCTCATGTTTGTATAGAAATGTCTTTGATATTTTCACTGATGTTTTGTGAAAAGTGTAACACAGCCATAATACAGTTTTGTATTATTGGTGTATATGAATAGGTCCGTGAGACACTTTTAAAAGACATAATGATTATTACAAGCACAGGATCCATCGCAACTTTCCTACAGGGTTTAAAACATACATATTAACTTTAAAATATTAACGTTTTAATACCGCAGTTTTGATAGTTTTACAATTTAACTAATCAACAATGGTGATGCTATTTGATTAGTTGATATTTCAAGAAAAATTGGACAGCCCAACGAATTCATAAGTTTATAATTGAAAGTCACGCGTGATCGGATTATAAGGGATCGACGACAATGAACGTTTTCTCGTCCTGGTGAACTGAGAATGGTTATGTCTGATCGACTTAATTAACATGAAGACTGACTATTGGTTCGAAATGTCAACCAAACCCACGTTTAATCATTAATCTCTTTCCGCCACCTTAACCCCATCGTATTCATAGAACTCTTTAAACAAACGACCACAACGAACAATCTAAATACTGTTGTGTTTTTCTAAGCTCGATGCCATTAATATTATGATTGCAGAGCGTCGAATATGTCAGTATAAATTTATCCGCCGAAAGCTAACGAAGAAAACGATAGCACTCCTTAAGATACATTATGCCATACAAGACTAGCGAGAGTACAAGAGATTAAGGGATGGCCCAGCCGATACTGTTTTGCTACTTTAGAAATAAGGTAATTTCTATGCCGGTTGTGTGCGTGGATTGTCTAAGGTGTTTGACTGGTAAGAGAATAGGTCAAGTGTCACCACAGAAGCTATGGAGATAGTTCTAGAATGATAATCTGCCTCACCCGAAGCTGACGGCCTCAAGAACTTGATAACTACCCTTTCTGAAAAGACGAGTAGTCATCGGCGACATCAAAGGTTTCTTACCTGTAAGCTTATACTGCCTGGCCTTTTTAAGTCCAGGTGTTGGCGAAGGCATAAGTCATGGTGATTCGTATTTCTCCGCGGAGGCACGTTGCCACTGAGAACATCCAAAGGGGAAGTTGATTAAACATAGGCAAGTCCTTGTTCTAAGCCATCCCTGTTTTGATCTTCCGAGTTAACTAATGCGAGAGAGAGCTCGAAACCCTATTGTAAGAACGAAAGGTATAAAAGCATGTTTATTACAATGTTATAACCGAGCAAACTCAAGCGATTCGCAAACGGAATGAGAGACATATAAAACTAGAAAGTGGGGATTTTCAAATGAACGCTGTTATTTCTCCGCATCTGTGGGAAAAGGGGCGGAGAAATAAAAACCTGCAATGCTGCCGCCATAATATTCAAGCCAGGGGTATTAAAAAGCCCTTGTAAGCTTACAGGCCATTCATTCCCACTCGCCGTCCGCAAAAAAGACAATTGAAAGTTACTTTAATTGTACATCTTGCATCGACATATAAGCCGACACAAGATTTTTATGCACATTTTATAGGAAGTGAGATCGTTTGAGCTCGCAGTATAGCCGGTAAAGGGGGCATAGAAGGGAGTTCAAAGTGTGGGGTCCCAACTTGCTCCAAGGGTCGACCCCTCCCCCCCAGCCAGGAGCGACTGGTGTGCGTCATCTTGAAATTGGCAAAATTCTGACATTCATTTTCGTTTTAAATTCTCCCCCCATGGGAGAAAGACGTCACGTGATTACGCCCGATGTAAAAAAGTTATGACCGTCTAGCGTAATGGTTACTATGGAAACGAAAATAATGTTGACCTTCCCAGGTTTTTTGTGTCTTTGGCCCGGCTTTAGAGTAAAGAGATGATTAAAGGAAAGGAATATTGCATTATTTTCAAAGGCATTCTCTTAATATTATGGCCACGGGTCGGCCCGGTCTCCAATGATATCCAACTTGGCCACCACCAATTTCAATATCTCCGGGTGATGAAAACAAAAATCTGCTTATAAAGTGTGAATCTGGGCAAATCGTAAAATCCTGATTGTAAAATTTTTATAGCTTTTTGTGATTTCCTTAACAAAGAGATAAGTCGCCCTTAGCCTGGCTCATGTTGGGTCCGCACTGTGGAAAGAATAGCCATAAAATGTGACCTTCGCACAATCAGAGCTCTCGCATCTTTACACAAGCTAATGAAATACACACCATTTAAAGCTACATTTCCACAACTTTTTTAAAAATCATTTGTTCGCACAAGTATTTCTTTCACGTTTGATTGTAATCAAATCGACAATCAGACAATTAGCGATCACAGCCGAACATCCCTGTAACTTAAAATTACTGGCATAAAATTTAAATTGTTTCTTGAAAAAAATGTTAGGTATCATTAAAGTAATGAGAGTTGAAATTTACAGACATTAATTTTTGTTGGATACAATGTTGTACGTGTCTGAAATTTATATGGTTCTAAAACATTGTGGATGTCGTTCCCCTTTGTTCTTGTGTTAGATTCATACACAACCAAACTAAAACAACATTGTTTGAAAACACCATCTAATCGATTACAAACAACTTTAAATATCACCTAGCTAGTTTCAATACAAAGCGATAGCCTTATATTTCAGAAAATCTGTATTCTTAATTGTCTTTTGTTCTTTCATTCCATATGACAGCATTGAAATACTGTTCGAAACGCAAGTATTTATTGTGTGTGTTCATGGAACATTCGTCACAATACGTCTTGAGCCTGCTTTTAGGTTTTAACTTCTCTCAAATACATTTGATTACACAGTGTTCACGGCTGATTGGTAATAAACCCTAAACGAGCATATACTAAGCTATATATGTGAGTACTGAATTTTTTTTATCTACCGCTATATCAATATACTCATGTAATATCAAGCGGGGATCATAAAAAATCTTTAATGGAGAAGAGACGGTTGTAACGAAATTAATGTTAGTCGAAGGGAACGTTTCAACAGGGAGCAGACAAATAATGAAACCATGATGCTAAGAACTGATATATTTTCAGCACGTATCAGGTGTTGACTGTAACGAGTGGTACCTTTTAAGAATCCTAATGAAGAAAAACATGCATGTCCTTTCATTTAAAAAAAAATGATTCACGTGTTAGTATTTTTACGGTTCATATCTTAAACAAAATGTACGATTTCTTTGTATCATTACCTGTAAATAAAGGGCATTAAATTTAGTTGTAGATAATTGAGCTCTTGAAAAAGCTGCATTAACAAAATGATTTCTTTTAACAGCATAATTGTACATTCATCCAGGCATTGCACCGATACTTGGTTTATTTATAAATACCGGATTCTACAAGACAACCGTTATTATTTTGCTGACAAAAGACCACAGGTGAAATACCCTGCTTCGCATTAGAAAACCCCAATTAGAAATCTGTAACTAATTCCTACATTTATGCCATTCACACAGTCAATTAAGACGGTTGTAAATGCAGCTTGTAACGGCAACCATCTTATGTCTCCGAGTACGCAGATCAGTCCTTAACTATGTTCATTTTATGAAATAAACGTTTGGACAAATTAATTGCAGCAATTATTTCAATTGAAAATGTTTATGTCTTACAGTATGGAAACATCTGACAATTGTTAAAAGCAATTGACAGGACCATTCCTTTTCGTCTTCAATAAACTGCACAAAAGAAGAAAGGAACCAATCCTGTATTCTTTATTCACTTTCTCAAAACAATTTGCAACGAACTGAAAACACACATTTAAGTGTTATATAGAAAGGGATTGGAGCCTTGACGTTATGCAGATTTACCTGTTAATTAAAATTGTCACATCGCCTGTGCAATAAACGCAAAGTTAAATTGTTAGTTTTAAATAGCTTTTTCATGTAATTGTAAATTTAGTAATTGCTCGGAGATTTATGAAAAAAAACACACGAGTTCTCTTTTAACAGCTTCTGGGGGTATTTGGTGACATGTGCAACAACGTCTTTGGCGATGTATCCACTGGAACACAACGTTATATGACTTCATGCTATTGATAATGAACGTAACATTCGCTTCACCTTTAATGAATAACAAACTTATAGCGTCTTAATGTTACACGCACCCTATTTTACATTCTTGTCTTCGTAAATGTGCATCAGAGTGATAATGAACACACGCACGCATGGTCTTAATTTGTAATGTCTGTTTGATGATATGTATTTGGAAGCAACGCAGTTCATTAAGGTGTATGGGATGCCCAATTCTCTGTGCAAAGCGTTGTCCTGATAATATTTGGCAATCAGATAAATAAGTCATAACCAATAGTCCTTGTCTTTTATTAGTGTCTAATGATAACATTGATAGGCACTGAGTGATGTGTCGATAGTAGGAACACACATTGCATTAAAGGGGTTGGTAAACCGCCCCAAGCAGTGCAACTTAAGGTTATATGTTCAACTAACGTGGCTGACTGACTGACTGAGTTTGGTTTTACGCCGCTTTTAGCAATATTCCAGCAACATCACGGCGGGGGACACCAGATATGGGCTTCACACATTGTACCCATGTGGGGATTCGAACCCGGGTCTTCGGCGTGACGAGCCAACGCTTTAATCATTAGGCTACCCCACCGCCCCTTCAACTAACGTGGTCTGTTCATAGCTAAAAGAAGTTAACGATTGATTATGTGTCAGTTAAACAGTGTGGCAGAAGGTGGATGCACACACACACACACACACACACACACACACACACACGCACGCACGCACGCACGCACGCACGCACACACACACACACACACACACACACACCACCCACCCATTGTATGGAATTATCAGACCCACAGATACTCAACTCAACTCACACAGCATCCCGCAGTTATCCACAAATCTAAACTCTACTGATATCTACATAATGATAAAACAGTACATATTAAGTGCAGTGACATCCATACCAAACATTTCATCATTTATACATACTCTCTCTAGATATGTGTTTCAACTCTCTAAGTATGTTTGTGCAATATTTCAAAATGTTTTGATATGCTATTTCAAATTATTTCATGGTAAATAGGTATATCGGATCTTGTACCTGTATTAAACTGAAACTTGAAACTAATTCAGATAGCCGCCATTGTCTCAGGAAGAAATACATATCCTATATTGTAAAAGAATGTGTGTAGTTAAATTAATGTACACATCAAAACATACATATTTCTTATGTCATCATGTGCCTACGATACATTTGAACATCATGAAGTACAAGATTCTTACTAATTCCAGATTTACAATGCACCTTGTGTTTAGTAGAGCTGGCTCTTTCAAAAGTAATATCGTGTTGGTACATGAGATTTAAATCGCTTGATATATAAGTATTAAATCGCTTGATATATAAGTATGTGTAAATGTACTATAATGCTACCTGGTCTCCTTTCTAATCTTGCATTCTTAAACAATCTTCCATTCAACTTGTTTATTCAAGAGAACGTTTAAGTAAATTCACAATATTTGGGCACTGTCAGCCTGATTTTCACGTCAATGTCCAGGCTTTAACAAGGATGAATATCACAATATCGTTTAGGAATTCGAACCAGATCATTTCCATCCTAAACGTTATCTTAACACCTGTTCCATGGTATAAGTATACAAAATTAAAATCAAATTTAACTTAAAAGCTTCAGTTTCCAAATTAATCCATATTAAATGGCGCCATACACATACGTACGTATAGTACAATAGGGACTCTATATATCATGGGGATACAATATCTCCTTCATTCTCGAAAAGAGAAGACTCTGGACCGTGACTCATAGACCTTATACAGGGATCGTAGACTGGTGTGATACATCCCTAACGATCGCTCAGCTACGTAGGTGTGCTCTATATATCATAGTGGATCCTCAGATTGCTAATCTTCAATGGGTGGTCGCTTAGATTTCACGAGTGATCCCAGCCATAGAAATACCTTAGCTCATACGCACTACACCTAGTTCTCAATGTGACACTAGGCCTTGTAATGAGATGATAGGCAGCTAGACCATTATACTGACGTTCCCAGCATGCTTTCCGCATTTTTTTTCGGTTTGTAGACATAACCCTACTGCCACCTGATATTGCAACACAACTCTGGCCGGTCATAGTAAAACCATTAGGATTTACGTGATGTATTCCGTCATTCTGACAGGCTACTGAGAAATCGTCAGGATTTCCATGATGTCTTTTGCCTATCTGAC